GCCACTTTGTGTGGAGCAAATTGTTTCTTACTTTATTGTGCAGGTTTATTTTTATGCTACTTACAAGTCACATTATTTGAATTTTGAACACACACACTTGTCTACTCAGTCGAAAGTCGAAAGGTTTGCAAGTTATTACACGAGTGTGTAAATTTACCCAATATACCCTAGATAGTTGACTGCACGCTATAACGTCGAACAACTGAATAATAGAACTATAGTAATACACAGTGGCGGAGCTAGAATCATAAGACTCAGGGACGGAACCACGTGGGGCCGGGGGGGCTCCCGCCCAAAAAAGAAATTTCACCTATATTCTATTACTTTTTTAATTGCATTTTGGTATTTATCTATTAATTTATAGACTTTGCACCCCCCAAATTTAAAATTTGTACACTTTTAGTCCATAAAAATATGTTTTTTCTTCTCTTTATTCACCCCCTGTATTTTGGCCCCTCAACTAAAAGCTCCTGAGTTCGCCCCTGATAAGACTAAATATTCATCTTGAATTTAGGTAGTTGCGACGTAATGTAGATTTTTTCGAAGTGACAGTTGACTAAAGTCAACCCTCGATTTTTTTTATTTTTTTTTAATGCAGATTGGAAATGCAGTGATAAACGATGAGAGTGATGTAAAAGGGATGTATGAATTTTTCGGAAGCCATGCTTTGGTATCTGATGAGACGACAGCTGTAATTATGAAATATTGCGATTTCACCCCAAATGCCACCACACAGTCAAATATATGCAATGAAGCTGCTGGTGAAGCTGAAAAAGACACTAATTCTATTGATATTTATAATATTTATGCTCCTTTGTGCAAAAATACCAGCCTCACCGACAAGCCCAAGAAGACTTCGGTAAGTTCCGATACGAAAATTTTCGATTTCGGAACATTTTTCGTTCCCAATTATGACAATTTCGATTTCTCTAAAACTGAATTTGAATACGTATTAGATTCTGATTTTCGACCCGAAAGTTACACTTCTACATTTTATGCAATAGGTAACTAAAATTTTGAAAATTCAGTAATGTCGCCGGTTTGATCAGAAAAATTCCAATTTCGGAACAAATGTTTTCATTCCAATTTTTTTTTTTTTTTTGAAACAGAATTGGAATTAGTTTTCACTTCCGAAAAGTATTGGATTTTTCGAATCTGTTCAATTTCTACCCCTAGTTTTTATAATGAAAATTGGTAAATAAATTGGTAATTTAATTAATTACCCTTTTTATATATAAAATTATGATTTTGTTTTTTTTAATTAATTATAATAAAAAATACCATTTGTTTAATGCAGGGATTGGATCTTGATCCTTGTGGTGACTATTATGTATATGCATACTTAAATAGGCCAGATGTTCAAGAGGCACTCCATGCAAACGTCACCAAGAATATTCCTTATGATTGGCAGCCATGCAGGTAATTAATTAATTAATCAATTAATTAATTATCTTAATTAAAATGTTTAAAACCCCAAATGTAATGTTAACTGCAGCAATGTGCTCAAGAAATGGCTAGATAGCCCATCGACAGTTATTCCTCTACTCAAAGAATTCATGGCCAATGGTATTCGAGTTTGGATATTTAGGTAATTAACCACACTTCCTCATTATTTTCTTTATTGCTTATTAGGAATCTTTCTTTCTGTTTCTTGAGGTAAGGTTAAATTACAAAAAAAACCCCTCTTGTTTGAGTAATTACGACCACCCGTCTCAACTATGTATTATCTTACACGTTCACCCTTACGGTGTCAAATTTACCTACCGAAGGAAGGGTTTTTTTGTAAGAAAATACATAGTTGAGGGGGTTAGCTGTAATTACCTAGACAAGAGTGGGTTTTTTCGTAATTTGACATTATCTCTAGGGGGTGGCCGTAGTTTGCCCTAAAATATAATCGAACAAAATCAATTACATGACAAAAATGCAAATTGCGTTTTTTTTTTCATTAATTACCGCATTGCTTATGAGCTCGATCGCAGGATAGTTATAAATTCGATCACCGTAAAATTGATTTGAGTTTCGGATTTGAAAATTTTCGACCTTGAATTAAAAATTTCTACTCCAAATTTTTGATTTTTTTTTTTAATTTAATCGGAACTAAACTATACAAAAAGTTTTCGGGAATTCTGGTTCGCGCTCTCAGTTTTGGTTTTCATAATATTCCACAATTCCGATAGTTCCAACAAAAAAATATTTATAATATTAATTTTTTGTCAAGATTCCGAAGTCGGAATGGATTTTCAATTTCCAAAACATCCGGAACCAGAATCGAAATTAGTTTTGCACCTCCAAAAACAAACCAAAAACTTCGAAAACAAAATTTTCAATCCGATCCGTTCGATTTTCAATACCAATATATAATTAAGTACATATCATTAATATGTGGTGTAAAATGCAGTGGTGATATAGATGGAAGAATACCAGTTACTTCAACAAAGAATTCCATCAAAACTATGAAACTTCACACCAAAGTTGCATGGCACCCTTGGTTCCTTGGTGGAGAGGTAATTAATTACATTTTCACTATTTTATTATTTTTAAAATTAATATATTTTACTATTGTCATTTATTTAATTAATTAAATTAATTAAATAATTAAAATAGGTTGGTGGATATACACAAGTATATGAAGGAAATATGACATTTGCTACAGTGAGAGGGGCAGGGCATCAAGTACCTAGTTATCAACCTGCTAGAGCCCTTTCACTTATTATGCATTTTCTTGCTGGAACAGAGCTTCCTAATTCTTCCAAAACTTAATTAATTAATTAATTAATTAATTATCATATAAATAATTTTATTTTCCACATGGCTTATTAATTGATAAAATTATAATTCAGCAATCATTTCTTCTTATCTTGCTTTTTTTTTTTTAATATTAAAAAATTAAAATATCGTTTGAGGTTAATGCACACAGATTAAGAATATAATAAATAATAAATAAAATTCATTTTTAATAAAAAGCTTGAATTTTCAATAATGTTAATGCCTAAGCACATAATATGGAAAAATAATTTGCTAAAGAAATATTTTAAAAGAAACCGATGGCGTAAATTATGTCGATCGTGGACCCAAACACGAGTTTGGCGTACAAAGTCGGTTATTTTATCATTACCAATCGCATTCTCACGCGTGGCCAAATGTATGAGACGCATGGTAAAGTTAAAAGTATACTACAGGGAATTTACTGTTCATTTACGCACACCGGTTTCAATGTAAATAAATAACAGTTATATGAACAAAGACACATCGTGTTGCTGGTAATTCAATAAGTACATCGTGTTTTGCTTGTTGCTGAAATGGGTCCTAATTTGGAAAATTCTATGGACACTCGATGCTCCCCTTATTACTTCTCAAAATAAATGAATGACGTTAATCAAAATATTGGGGCTATGCAATTTAATGCCCGAAAATCGAATACGTTTGGGAACTTCCTAAACATGACCAAACTAGGTCATAATATTACCAAGGTGCGACATTTGTTGAAACAATACCTTCTCGAAACAACTGGATTTGTATTTAGTAAGGTAAAATAGAGTAAATCTCCCATTTTTCTCAGAGGAGTTATCGATAGTGATAGGATTGCACCACGAGGAGCATCCAGTTGACATAAATTTGAAAAAAATGAATCTTCGTCCACTAGAAACGTAAAACATATTGAAAGTAGTCATGCACATATGTTTTGCCTATGTATGCTCTCATGGTTTATATTAACAATCCAGGAAGTGAGTAACATTGCAATGTGACAATGAGGTTAATGTAGAATGTACTGTTCTTAGGGGTAAAATCGGTATTTTTGGGGAATATTCACTGGAACCAAAAAATCCATGAAAATCGCACTGTAAGGGATTCAATGTAAGACGGAAACAAATATTGGGAGGATTTGATAATTACAGATAGGTAAAGGTGTTTTTGTAATTTAACTTAAGTTTAGGAGTTTTTTAAAAATTAACCTTTGTTATTATTTTATACGTATATATATTCCTTACAATGTGCTACAGGATAAAATTTTGTATGGTAGTATAGTCAATTAGACATATATTATATATTTAATCAATTATTTATTTATTGGCTGGTCCATTCAACCATGCGTGCCAATAGGGTACCCCATGCCAGCCTAAGCCACTTTGTGTGGAGCAAATTGTTTCTTACTTTATTTCAATTTATTTTTATGCTACTTACAAGTCACATTATTTGAATTTTGAACACACACACTTGTCTACTCAGTCGAAAGTCGAAAGGTTTGCAAGTTATTACACGAGTGTGTAAATTTACCCAATATACCCTAGATAGTTGACTGCACGCTATAACGTCGAACAACTGAATAATAGAACTATAGTAATACACAGTGGCGGAGCTAGAATCATAAGACTCAGGGACGGAACCACGTGGGGCCGGGGGCTCCCGCCCG